ACTTGACCAAAAACTCACATGGAAAGACCACATCACAGCAAAGAAAACACAAATAAACCTAAAAATTCGTCAAATGAGCTGGTTAATAGGACGCAAATCAAAACTCTCCACAGAAAATAAAATACTACTATATAAGTGTATAATAAAGTCAATATGGACGTATGGAGTTCAACTCTGGGGCTGTGCTAAACCATACAATACAAAGAATCCAATCGAAGATACTTAGAATGATATTCAATGCACCATGGTACATTAGTAATAAGACCCTGCATGACGACTCTGGTATACCGCCTGTTGGAGAAGAAATCACCAGACTAACAAGAAAATACCTAAATCAGCTCCCAGAACATCCCAATGAAGAAGCAAGACAACTTTACACTCCCGACATCAGAAGAAGACTAAAAAACAGTGGCCTACGGATAGGTATGCTAAATCAGTGATCGGTTATTATAAACGGTTAAGTCAAATCAGAGACCAATTATTTTATAGGAGAGCTCTCACTGAAAAACTTCTCCCTCAAATGTAGCTCGATGATCACATTTACTTATAGCTGTACCTAACTAGCAGGTTGTAAATTAGCTATTAAAAAAAAATTTCAAGAAATGAGGTTGAAGCGCCTTTATATACCAAAAAAATCCTGATGCATCACGCTTTTTCGTTTTCAACCGGCTGATTTAGCTAGACAAATTAGTATTTATACTAATACTTTTGCATCCACATTCCATCTAAAAATCAGAATCAAATATTTCAATAGACGAATAATAGGCTTTCTATAGTGGTCTATAAACGCCAGAAATCCATTGGGTAGGTACTAATCCGAATTAAACTAATAGGCGAAATGCAGTAGTACAAAGATGGCGCGACCCCTCAGAGAAATATAGGTGGGTACATCCAATACATAACAAGACCTTTCGAATAGAGCTTCTTTCGTATTTATACTACGTGCTATCATTGAATAAAAACACTATTTTTATTCAATGGTGCTATTTAGCGGAAACTAATAACATTTTTCTAGTTGAATTCAAATGCGATGTCGCGAAACTTAATGACACGTTCGAGAATATATTGCTACAGACGTATGAGAGTAAAGGGTAAACAGTTTACAGGTCATACTTTTAAAGGTGAACTAAAAGTTAAATACGGGATATGTCACTCAATCCTACATTATATTGGCCAAGATATATTGTAATAGTTAATAGTAGATGCATTGATTGGTAAATGGAAATCGTCACAATTTCAGTCTTTGACCAATAACTTTAAATAAATCACTAAGACACTCCTTGTAAATGACGTCGATTTCAATATACAGAGATGATTATTTATGACATTGCAAAATGTAAAAGCCATTGGTTATTAACAGAAACAAGTTAAGGACAACCGACGATAGCGTATTTTTCCTTGTCGATTGCGGTTGCGCTTTGCCAAAAAATTAACCAAAACGGAAAGAGAAAGTTAGTTATTGTGCATCAAGGCAATGCGTTTTGCAGTTTCCACGACGAAATTAGGGTTAGAATGTGTAACGGTAGCTGTAAATTTGGATTTAAAATTTATAATTTTTTTTAATAGAACTATAGGTAAAAATGGAGGTAAAAATAGAATTTTAGAAATGTTTGTGGATTTGAGTAAATTTTTTAAGCACTAAGCTTCATCGAAATTCTCAGGCGTAAAACCCTTAACGGTTCTCAATTATTTTGCAAATAAATAGTGGTTTGGTGGAATCTGAAATTGGTTAACTACAGTGCAGCGGATGTGTATTTATTTCTAGATTTTTCTATGGGGTCTTTGTTTCATAATTGCTTTAGGTAGTCGGTATATACAGAAGGTCTGGGATTTATATCATATTTAAGCTTTCTAATGAGTACTATTAAGTGGCAATGCTAACTCGGTATGATAGCGTGCGGTATTCTGGGGTTTGTAAAATGAACAAATTTCGGAAAAGAGTTATGGTCTTAGATCGTTTTTGATTGGCTGAACGTGATGTTAAAACTTTAAGAAAGAATATTTTGAGAATGGTGTGTCAGAAGAGGGTACGAAAGCCATACGTACTAATTTCATTTAATGCTAATCGTTTAGATCTCAAAGTGTGCATTTCACTGTACCCTATCATTGTGGAGGTATTAAAATAAAGATTGACCCTGTTGAGGCTAATAAAAATCATTTGCCCTTCCTTGTTCAAACGCAATATTCAAAAACTTTCTAAAACTTCGTAAAAAAAAACTTATTTGCACATTTACAATTGAGGTGATATCGAGGGTGATATTCTCCGCTCTTGCCATCTATCGGCATATACCGCAGCAGTTCTACTCGTTAATGTTAATTGTAAAATTGAGTAGGTTCCGAGGTAGGTTCAGGTAGATAAAATTTGTTTTGTGCCCGGTTTTGTGTAAAATATGGTGCTTTCTATTGTTATTGCATTTTAAGTCAAATCGAAAGAAAATATGTACAAGGGTAAAGTAATTTGGAACCATGAAATCATGATAATTATTTTCATCAATGTATTGGAAATTGTACGGTAATTTGCTTTTTATTTAGCAATATTGAGAAAAAAAACATATTTGAAGCAAATTTCATGTTAAGAAAAAAAGGAGAAGTTTTTTCAGTATGTGAGTAATTGTGTAATTCACATTAAGAACTAGCCGTGGAAGTTTAAGAAAAAATAATAGGAATTTCCATTTCACAATTAACATCCCTATTTTTTAATTCATAGGATAGAAGTTAAACCCCTTTATTATGTACAGCCATTGACTAAAGATCAAGCTTGTTGAGGACCCAGAACAAGGGAGGGATAATAAATAAATTGTCTATTGGATAGTGTCTAAAATATATATAAAACAAAATAGAAGAAAAAACAAAACATAATTTTAACACCTCGGTTAACACCATCCAAAGGGGCGCAGTTCAGATAGGATACATGACCACACATTTGCTCTTCCGTTTAACCCCTCCAATTTAATTAACTAAACAACAAAGAGGAATGAAACTAACTGGTGTATATAATGATGTGAAGCGTATGATTAATATACGTATGGGAATGACGATTGAAGAAAACCGACAAAAGAAAATAATAATAATAATAAACATGTTTCGTGTGTTGTTTAACAACTTAAGAATATAGTATTCTATTGTGAGTACACGTGACGCTCGACTTAACGTTTGAAATTTCCAAAGCTTAGTGTTTTAAGATTGTTGGATAAGTTGTAAGATCTTTTATAGAATTATGTTTTATGAAATGGCGGAATTATTAATTTATAAAATCTATTGTTCGTACTAAACTGTATTTTATTATAAAGATAGTTAGGTGTTCTGGTTATTATAATTTTATGGAATAGTGTAGCTGCATGAGCATGTCTTCTGCGCTCCATATTCAACCACTTCACTTCCGTTAGTTTGTGAGACACATGCTCATGTTTTTTTATGCCGAATATTTTTTTTTTTGGTAGGTGGGGAAATGCTCCTTATGCACACTCCAGGTTGAAAGGTCTGGAGTAGTGTGGGGCTCTCCCTTACTCGGGTATACCCACTAAAACCCCACCTAAGGCTTCGGCTTCTATGGCCATTTGCCTATTTGCTCAAAATATCACAGACTTCGTTCTAATAGAATATTACATACAGGTAGGTCGACTCACATACAATACAATATTTTCGATATGACAAAGTTGGTAACTGACAGACAACAATAAATAACAATTAAATAGACAGCCATTATATCACAGTTTGTGCAACATTTCCACACTTTGGAAAAATCCACCCTTCGACACCGTTCATCGCTGTTAAAGTTACCTTCCCATATCGGGCATATCCCGAAGTTGTCCCGTATATCTTTGTATCGTGGACAGTTACAAAGTATGTGCTCTAGTGTTAAATTAACCTCACAGTTCGCACATAGGGGTCTAGGTTTACCTTCCAGCAAGGCGCTATGGGTTAATGCGGTGTGCCCAAGTCTAATTCGAAACATCTTCACGAATACAAACCGGCCCTCGCCAAGAAGAAATAGCGGCCCCAAATCGGGTTTGACCCTTTTCAAAAATGAATCGGACCTCGCCCATAGGTCGCCCCAACGCTCATACATCCGAGCCCTGACGAGTGTACGTCGGGTTACTGTTGTCTCATTTGCAACATCAAGGTCATTTAGTTGTAGATACGTTAGATCCTCTCTAGCCCTTTGGCTCAGCGTTCTGCACCTATTCAGCCGTCGACCCGGAACTGCGCCTGCCATCGATACGTGATTCGGATGTTGTTCATCCGAAATTACTTTAAGATAATAGTTTACAGCAGCCTGTTTACGACGGAGGGCTAGAGGAAGGATATTCGCCTCGACGTGAAGCGCAGCGACCGGACTCGTTGGAAAAGCTCCGAGGGAATACAGTATGGCGAGGTTTTGGATTTTATCGAGATTCCCAAGCATCGCACTGTTGTCACATGTCAGATAAGCACAGCACCCATAATCAATTCTCGATAAAATTAAGGCCTTGTAGACGTCGAGTAACGTCTTTGGGTGAGCTCCCCACTTATGGTGGGCCAGGACCCTAATGACATTTAATGATTTCCTACACTTTGTGACAACATTCTGTAGATGCTTGGACCACCGCAGCTCCCTGTCAAAGGTAAGTCCCAAAAATTTCATATCTTGGGACACAGCTATTATACGGTCTTTCATAAATAGAACGGGGTCATAGTGTGGTCTTCGGAGTCGACAAAAATGAACCACCTTCGTCTTTTCCTCAGACAAAACGTACCCCACTGCATCCGCATTATCAGAAATTTTATTGATAGCCATTTGTAGTATACGCACAGCGGAACCAACGGTTTTTCCGGCGCAATGAATCATTAAGTAATCGACGTATAGGGATTTATCGACTGTGTCGGCAACACCCAGGGCTATTCCGTTTATGGCAATTGCAAACAGTGAACAGCTTAAAGTCGAGCCCTGCGGGACCCCGTTTTCTAGTACGCGCTCGTTTGAATACGCCTCTCCAATTCTAACAATAAACTTTCTGTCTCTTAAAAAAGATCTAATAAATTTGGGCATGTTTCCGCGTAAATTGTATTCAAACATTTTTTTAAGTATACCATACCGCCATGTCATGTCATATGCGCTCTTGATATCAAAGAAGACCCCAATCAAATGCTCGCCACCATCAAACGACTTTAGGATGTTATCAGTTAATTTAACCAAATGATCGATCGTCGACCGACCTCTCCGAAAACCGGCCTGATAGGGGACGATGATCTCGTTTTCTTCCAGAAAGACCCGCATGAAGTCAAACTAATTGGACGGTAGTGCTGCGCCAACAGCGGATCTTTCCCCGTTTTAAGTATGGGAACGACTATGGCCCGTTTCCACTCATCAGGGTAGATACTATTTTCCCAACAAAAATTAAAGAAATCTAAAATCACTTGTTTCATAGGTTTGCTACAATGACGAAGCATCTGATTGTGGATACTATCGTGACCGGGAGCGCAGGATTTCGTGTTTTTAAGTGCAGATTCTAATTCATCCATACTAAAAGGTAAGTTATATTGAAGATTCTCATCCGTATTGAAGTTAATGATATCGTCTTCCTTTTCAGCTTTAGTCTCAAGGAAAAACGCTGGATAGTTTAACGAACTACTGACCTGATAGAAATGGTCTGCCAAGAGGTTCGAAATTTCTTGTAAATCTTTCGTAACCACCCCATCGTTTTTCCGAAGGAATGCCGGGTAGTTTAGTTTAGATTTGCCAGATATCGCACCCATCTTTTTCCATATTTCACTCATAGTCACGTCCGTCGTTATGGTGGATACATAGTGTTGCCACGACCTTCTTTGTGCCTGGAGATTTATGCCGAATATTAATCGCAAGCACGAATTTTGAATTTTTTGTATTCTACGAGCATCCAGACTATCGAGGCAAGGACCATAAACCACATCGCAATAGTGAGAAATAAATAAATAAATAAAAAATCCAAAAAAAAAATAAATAAATAAATAAGAGTTATCTACGAAATCGGGCACAATATGTACGCTATAGAGTAAATCACTTGGGAATTTGTGTGGGGTACCCCAGGGACCAGTCCTTGGTCCAATTATATTCCTTATATTAACGAGTTCGTTCATTCTTTTGGACTTTCTGTCCGTCTGCGTACATGATAACTCGCGAACGGTTTCGAATTTTTCAATTCCGTCTTCAGTGTTACGTAGACAATAGTTAAGGGACGAAATGATTAAATTTTGGTAATTTTCTGTCTGTCCGTCTGTCTTTGTCGTTCGTTTATTTATGTTAGTGATCTGTGTTCAGATAATCTCCAGACAAGTTTGACTTGCTTTCCAGATGATGTTTCTCTATGTTATTAGGATTTATCTGCTTTTAAGTTATTAGAACTTGTTCAAATGTGTTATTCTAGGGATTTTTTGTGCTTCAGTTTAGTGTTTTCATTCAAAAGTAATTAATTGACATTTAAGCAAAGCCGTTATACGCTAGATCTGACAGAGCGGGTTACAATTTACTATTATTTATTATTTAAATGGAACACAATCCTCAAGTGGTTTGGATGGACATACGAATAAATAAGATGAGAAGATATCAGTTTTCCCTTCAGAAAATGTCTTGGAAAATGCACTAAAAAAGTCTTATACGTATTATCAGGTAATGGAGTAACAAGGGGGCAGTATGGCGTGAGATGAGAACCTTGAGAACGAATTAGGTCCCAATTAAGAGGGTTGATATATTAATACGGGAGGGTCTCACAAATGTTATTTGCAGGATTACATTAATAATTTGCAAAACTGTCCTACAGCAGAAAGTGTTCGCTGAATTGAATCAATTAGCCGTTTTACAGCAATATCAATATCCGTCCCTTCGATAGTATGTGCTAACGGCCTTAGTTATCGCTGTTAAAATGACCAGAAAGGAAACGTTTTATGATCGTAGAAGAAAATCCATATTTATATCTGCAATATTGCTACGACACCAATAAATACTTGGTTGACCTAAACCGCGGTGTTACGCATATAAATAACGCAAAAAATTGGAACCATTCCGTGCTTATTTTGTGTTACGTGTTCTAGTTTCCTAATAAATTTCTTATAAAATTCGTTTTGAAGGTTTGGGGTAATGGAACTTGCGACCCTACATTATTCTTATCTTTAATTAAATTTTGGGAGTGTTAGAACAATAGAGAACTGCAGGCTACTAAAAATCGTTAAAAGAGAACTTATAGTATTATACCTATACGCAACATAAATGTAATTACTACTGCCATTTTTATAGTTCAAGGTTATCTCATTCAATATAAATTGCATGTAAAGATCGCGCTGAATGGAACAAATCTAGTTAGTTGCAGGGCAAAATATTACGTCCGTGTATTTGCTGGTTCGGTACATATTTTATGGGGGTTGCAATAACGGAATCATAACACAGAGGAGAGCTTTAGGACCTGGATATCCTGTTTCTTGCGCTTTTGGTAATAAATTCCACACAACTTACCCTCGAAATTCGTAGTGGTTGTTGAACGTCTACACCACCATGCATGCGAAAACCCCAGGGCGAACCTCCATCTAAGACCACTTCGCGTGTTGTCATAGTTTTGAACACTTCAAAGCCAATTGGTAGACAGCCAAATATTCAATACACTGTTATTACCACTGCTCATCGATTAAAATAGATGCATATTTTTTAGAAAAAAACTCAAAAAAATGTGCGTTACCTACGGTAGGATGTCCCACTTAGCAAGGATATAGGTCAATTTTTACAATTAATGCCGGCGAGTGAGTTAAACGATTAGAAAAATGTCCTGTGTATGAGAGACCGTATGGGAAACCTCGCTTAATCTTGGTAATTATAAACACTGAGATAAAAATAAACTTGAACTTTTTATCTAGATTACACTAAAATTTAGGTAATTCTACTAGATAGTGAGAAAAAAGGTCATAATAATTACTTAATCTTATCAGCAAATACACATTCACTCATTCAAGAACCGGCAATAATAGACTGAGATTGATAACACTAGAATTATTGTTTTCCACATTCAAACGTTTAACGTCAAATCTGATCACGTGTTATCCATCCACGTTTTTGTCGAGACGCCGACGGTGAAGGTTCACCGGGTGCCGCACTGAAACAGACTGCGCCATGGCATTCATTCGCAAGCCCGGGTGGCCTGGTGGAATATGTCTTTGCACTTGCGAGATTCTTCTGCCTCCTACTTTGTCCGATATCGAACAGCCACCCCATTTTATTTATATTTTGGATGGCCGAAACGTGATTACTCATTAATTTGATTAGTAAATCCCACTGAAGAGAAATCCCATTCCCGCTTTTAACGAAAACTCGTACATAAGCAGCACCCTTATACTGATCTGAAACAGTTAAAAATCCGAGTCAACGAACTTAGCAACTTAAATGTTTTTTTTTTACTTTAAAGAATCTAAACAAAGAAGCTTATATTAAAAATAATATTATGAAGTTAACTAGATTAATCCCCATCTGGTATTACGAGTACACACACTAATAATGAATTTTTCAGATAATCAATTCGAACTGCTTTGTTAGAAATCATTAGAAAAACCTAATTAAACAACTACAATTCCAAACGTCAATTTGGATTGCCTTGTTTTATAAATACAAAAACTTCCCTTGTTAATTACTACCTTATTTATCTTCTGTAGTCTCCCACGCCTACATAAATCATACGTAGGTACAGAAAAACAAACCTCAAGAATGAAATTCTCAACTTCTGATGGCAAACAGTAATAAGAATGCGTAAATCAGCTATAAGTTATATAATATAATGAAACAAATTAACAATTAACTAATTGACAGCTGTTAATTAAGCACAATGAGCAATTAATGTAATTTTTTAGAAGAACACAAACATTCCAATTCTATTATTCTACCACACAATTTTGTTCGCTCACAATAGCCGAAGTTCAAATAAATGTGTTTCTTGAGTTTCCTATTAATTTAAGACCCTCTAATGTATTCATTATCAGTTAGGATACATCTTCCTAACTATACCGAATTCCATTTGAGAGTACATTCAACTTTTTCAGCGGCGACCGTATTGAAGAAGATTAGTAGCACAAACATAAAGCATAAATGTTTATAAAAGAGCTTAGAATTAAATGAGCTGAATTAAAATAATATACACTCACGATCGGTAGAAGCTGTTGGTCACCGCGGGGAGTTCTTGGGATAGATAGATACGTAAATAAATAAATATAATTATGTTTATATAAAGTACCTCCGAATTTCAGGTTGAATTCTCGAATGTTAAAGCAAATAATGCTCGTGCAGTAGTAAAATTGATCTATCTTAGGAGATCAATTATTTTTATAACCAAAATTACTATTTCCCGTGCATTTTTTTTAGTAAATAGAACCGTGTACTTTTATCTTTTTTTGGAACAACTGCTGGACTGAAACTGACGTTCACACATGATTGAAGAATGTCTGACAGGTACAATCTCACATTTCATTAGAGAGTAACACACAATTAAACATATACTAAAATATATAACGTAGCCGTAGGTGAAATTTTGAAACTGGGCGTTAGATTTTCCTTTATTCCAAGTGCCTATGTATCAAATTTCGTTTAAATGCTTCCATAAATAAAAAAGTTAGCACTGCGATTGCGCAAAACCAACTTTTCAAACTGGCGTTTGATTTTCCTTTATTCCAAGTGCTTATGTATCAAATTTCGTTTAAATTCTTCCATAAATAAAAAAGTTGGCAGTGCGCATGCGCAAAACTAAATTTTGAAACTGGCGTTAGATTTTCGTTTATTCCAATAGTGTCTATGTATCAAATTTCATTCAAATACTTTTATAAATAAAAAAAGTTTCCAATTCGGTTTATAAATGGTCGAGATGCGAAAAGGGCACTGTGAATTTTGAATCGATTCGACTCAACTTTTGGCATTGCGTATTATATGGCTAAAGCTATGCCCATATTGAATTTCATGCAATTCAGTTCAAAACTAACGGAGGTCTAAAAGCGATCGGACATTTCTAAACAAAATTATTATTCACACGGACAGATAGAGGGACAGACAGACAAAGGAACAGACGAACAGACCAACAGGCTGACGACAGACAACAAAACAAAAATATAAATGATCTCTAGGATCGTTAATAAACGACAAAAGTGTAAAATTATGGAACATGTAAAAAACGGTTTTTTAGTTTTTTTACAATAACTTTTTTAGCAATAAACGCAGAAAAAATTCCTTCCTTGGTGCAAGCCTCGACACCATAGCGAACAAAATAGCGAAAAAAGTAGAACAATAGCTCTTAAGATAAAGAACTAGTAGCGTCTCAACGAACGAGCGGACGGACGGACAAAGTGGCCACAATAGCTCATTTTTTTAAATTTTTGTGGAAATGCGCTAAAAAGGGTGAAAAATTTAGTTCTTGTATTCCAAGGTAACGTGTTTTATCTTGGCGAATAAATGAGGACTATGTTTTACTAGCTTGACAAAAAAGGAAGAAAGACAGATTTTTTGAAGTGACTACTTCTTTTCACCCGTTATACACTATATGTTTTTGACGAGAGTAAAATCATCTCATGCGTAACGTATATATTCTGTGGGGGCAACGCGTAACGCTCTGCAGCCGAAGGCGAGCTCGGCCTAGTTCCCAATTGTGTAAAGCGCATTTGAAAAGAAGTATGGCATTAAAACCGTCAGGTATCATATAAGGTCTCCGTCTGTTTTTGCTGAGAAGGGAGCGGTTTTTCGCATGTGTTGTGTCTTAAATTCTGTAGTAACATAAAAAGGACAGAGACTACTACTACTACAGAGACATTTTTATGACTGCTATAAGAGACCCTCCTTTGCCGTTGTTAGTTGATTTTCAAATTTTGCATACCCTAACCTTAACTTTTCGGGAATTGATAAGCGATCTCAAAGTCTTCAATCAGGA